GCGGTTCACGTAGCACCTGTGTCCATATGACACGTGGCATGTCAGCTGCAAAATACGTCGAGAGCCGAAATGGTTAGGCAAAAGCGAATGGGGAGAAGACACGTGGCTTGGCATGCTTTGCATCCCGCCTCCTTTACTTGAAAAATTATAGATACAGCCGGTGACCGTCTGTAAGTGAAAGCTTTTATTTTAAATAATTATGAATACAAACAGACTTATATTGAGCAAGGCTAGCGGGAAGTTCCAGATTTAAAGACGAATGGTGTCCATTCCTATAAGTCTGCAGAATTATGAATGAGGATACCAAGTTTGAAATAGATACACACTGTTACGAAACATATTGTCCAGATTGGCACGTCTGAATGGCTGATGCAGAGTAAGATGCATATCGTCTACGTAGGTCTGCAGGAGGCACACAATGTTCAGAAAAAGTCCTAAATGAAGATGAACAATATAGAGCCAACATGTAGTGCTGCATCATACATGCAGACCCTTTGTAGACCTCTGTACGACTACCTTTTAAAAGAATATATTTTAAAATAACCTACCATAGTTTACGACGGTGACAGTCCATATTTAAAAGTCTGAAGACCGCATTCAGAGTAATAAGCACAACCTCAACGTACAACATGACGAGCTAGAGGTCTTTATCAACACTTAAGTGCATAACATCTTTCCAGCTCTGTATGAAGAACGGATGCAGGGTTAGAGTGATGACATGGCAACTACAAAACCTCTGTTAAGGTCTATATGAAGTGCAGAGCCTTTGGGTAGCTCTGTATGAAACACGGAGTGTGGCTCCGATTGATCGCGTAGCACGATAAGAGCCTCTGTTAAGGTCTATATGAAGTGCAGAGTCTCAGGGTAGCTCTGTATGAAGCACGGAGTGTGGCTATGATTGACCGCGTAGCACGTGGAGAGCCTCTGTTAAGGGCTATATGAAGTGCAGAGCCTCTGGGTAGCTTTGTATGAAGCACGGAGTGTGGCTCCGATTGACCGCGTAGCACGTGGAAAGCCTCTGTTACAGACTGTATGGACAACGGAATGACGCTTGAGAGACACGAGGGTGTAGAAATTGTGCGGAGTTAGAAGTATGAAGAACGACCTCGGAATAAGAGGCGGACCTCAATGTAAGACATGGCGCGACAGAGGTCTTGCTCAATACATAAGTGCAGAGCCTCTGTGTGTCTCTGTATGAAGCACGGATGCAGGTCTGTATCAAGAAGCGGAGCCTCAACGTAAGACATCAAGAGAGAAAACTCTGTGTATCTCTATTGCTACTTCTTTTGTGATTAATTAAGTTTATATTATGAGGCAAGGAAGGACAAAGAAAGGCTCAAGAAAGTGCATGTGCAATGTTCATACATAAGAACAGAGAACAACAACAAAGTTATGTACTCATACAAAGAAATTGGATATTACATAAAAAACAATTAATAATGAAACCGAGTACCATAATACATTCACCAATCAATACATCGTTGCACGAAACAAAATCCAATCACAAAAACAATCCCAAATAGGAAACACGAATATTACTTCTGAAGAGGGGCCTCAACGTAGGACATCAAGAGAGAGAGTTCTTTCTCAACACTTAAGTCCAGAGCCTATATCTATCTCTTGTCCATCTCGACGTTACCATACCTAATCCTTTTTTTTCTGTCTATTCCTTTTCCAAGACGTCTCTACTGCACCTTTTCATGTCATTACACTCTGTATGAGGCAAGGAAAGACAAGGAGAGGCTCAACGTAGTGCAATGTTCCTACATAAGAACATCAACAACAACAAAATTCTCTAATCATCAAAACAAGTTTAATATTAAATAAAAAAAATAATAATTAAACCGTGTATCAAATTACATTGACCAATTAACAGATCGTTGTACGAAACAAAATTCAATTACAAAAAACAATCCCAAATACGAAACACAATGTAATAAGAAGAATAAGACATTTTACGGTGCTCGTTAAAAAAGACAATGATCAGTCCTGGAATAAGAAGAAATAGTTCCATCCATTTATATTTACGAAATACATTCAGGGTGGCGTGAAGAATACGTTAGACTTCTCTTCAGAACTGAAATYTGATGAATGAAGGTTTAGTGATTCCGATTCAGCAGACTGCATGATAAATCGAAAAATAATGTTACACTAACAGAGATACTTCATTCAATCGGATTCAATCTAGTGCAAATGATAATCGGCACCTGTTGAACAGCAACTCTCATTGCGAACTCGTTGATAGACGCTATGATGGTCGGTTGGCCTTGAATATGAGAATATCACAATATCTATCGCATATTACTCTGCAGTGGCGGTTTAAACAGGACCACGCACAGTAATCATGAACCTTGACACGTGTCACATGCACAAGTATGTTTGTACTGAAAGCAGAAATTGTGTCTAGATACATGTTTTAGGCGGGAAAACACAGTAACCGGCGCACAGGAATGGAACACGTGTCCCAAAAGTTACTTATTTATTAGGGTTATAGATATATATATATATATATATATAGAGAGAGAGAGAGGGGGGGGGCACATTCAAATGAAAACCATGCAATTCTTAGAAACCGTGGAAACTAATTTCGACCAATAGGAAAATTCCATTTTTTCTCTAATTAAATTTAATCATTAAGGGTATATTGGTCATTTGTATTGTTTTCTATTAAATATGGAAATTATTAATAAATCTTAATTAAGGCAACATAATAAAGGAAATTTTATAAATGGTAACATTTAAATAGTTAATTAAATTATAATATTAAAAATTGGATGTTGTTATATTGTGTTTCGATTTATTATTGTCAAGATTAATGAAAATCGTAAGTTATTAGAGTAATAAATACATGAAATCAGTAGTAGAATAAAAAAATATTCATGAAAGCGGTTTCATACATGGTGAAATTGGCGCATGGAGTAAGTGAAAATAATTATGGAATGCGTGCATGATGAAACCGGTTTCATACATGGTGAATTGGTGCATAGAGTAAGTGAAAATGATTATAAAATTGGTGTATAATGAAATGGGTGCATGATGAATAGAGTGCATGAGGATATGGGTGCGTGATGAGGTTTAAGATGCATGAAATGGGTGCATGGTGAATAGTGAAAATGTTTCATGAAACAGGTTCATGAGGTTTAAGATGTGGTTGGATTTATCATTTTGCCCTTCTCGTTATTATAAAATATATATATATATATATATATATATATTTCCTAAAATAAACTAAACTAATCTTGACCATTGATCAATAAAAATGGATGGATGAGATTGGTTTACATAGTTTACACAGATGGGAGCGGTTTTCATTTGATCGCTCATATATATATATATATATATATATATAGGCCTAATCAAATGAGAACTGATTAGTTTGTGGTAAATGTGAGATCCAATCTCAGCCAATCATTTTAATAATTAATGTTATATCCTAAAATAACATAAAGGGTATTTTGGTAATGTTTATATACATAAAACCCTAGATGTTACTTTCTCCTTCATCTATTTCTTCTCCAGCCACCACCATCACCCCATCTACTTCTTCATCGACGGTTTCCTCCCCTTTCACAATCATCTCATCTTCTCCTTTATCATCACTAAACGTGTTCTCGCATATTCAAAAGCGTGTTTTGAGAAGCACGAACGCCGACAAAAAATCCGTAGAGATCAACGACTGTGACGATGAGCCCTCTCAACTCTCGCCGCCCTCAACTCCCGCAGTCGCAGGTGGTGACGCCCTAAAGAAACCGGCAGTTACGGCAATTATCATCCCTGTTTCTCCGGTGGTCTTTTGTTGTTGGATGCTTGCAATTACAGCGAGTTTCTAGAGTTCTGGCGAGTCCCCATGTGGATAATTTGGCCTGTTATGTTGACCAGACACCGGAAGTTCACTCCGGCAAGAAACCGACAGTGGCTGTGATGGAACAGAGAGGTTGTTACAAGAGAAGGTACGTGGTTGACACTCTTCTTTGTCTCCGACCAATCAGTCTTCTACCACTGCAATGCAATCGTTGACACTCTTCTTCGTCTCCGACCAATCAGTCTTCTACCACTGCAATGCAATCGTTGGCACTCTTCTCCGTCTCCGAGTATTCATTGCAAGGCTGTAAAATAACTGCGGGTGATCAAAGTGTATCAGTGTATCCGGTAGTTTTATTTTATGAATTGTATCACAATATGCAATTTCATTATTTTCCTTGTTTTATCACGGTGTATCACAATGGATTTGCTTTTGTTTTTATGGTTTGAGTTGGTATAATAGTTGATATCACAAATGTATCACAGTATATCACAATGGATATCACATTGTGTATCTTTGTGATTACTTGGTACCTGCCGGAATAATGTTGGCCGGAGGCCGGAGTTTGGAGGTCGGAGAGAAGAGTTTTTAAAAATACCTAAAATGTTCTTTAATTATAATTTTAACTCAAACTATCATAATTACTAATTTCCTTATTTATCCGTTGATTTGTGGTTAAGATTGGATTTCACAGTTACCACAAACTAATCAGTTCTCCCTTGAATGGCCCCTATATATATACGTATGTATGTATGTATGTATGTATGTATGTATGTATGTATGTATGTATGTATGTATGTATGTATGTATGTATGTATGTATATGTATGTACATATATAGAGGAGGTTTACTTTACAAACCACATTATTTATACAAATCGTACAAACCTCATTCAACCAATCATAATTTTTCATTTTATTCATTTTTTTTGTATTTATGAAAGATTGATTAATCTATTTTATTGTGGAGGGTGTTAATCATGAATATTATCATCTTTATTATATTAATAAAAAAGAGATGAATGAATCAGTTTCATTAAAATTTCATAAGTATTATATAAAACAATTTCATAACCATATATGAAACAGTTTCATCAAAAAAAATATTATACGAAACAATTTTTTAAGATTAAATAATTTCATTAAAATATTTCATAAGATTAAACAATGAAATCGATGGATGAAGATGATTTACATGATTTGTACAAATATGGAGTTTGCATATTTTGATTAGAATGACATCTTACAATACACATCATGTCTTTCCACGTTGTACAGAAGTTTTCTCCCACATACTCCATCGTCGATATAACAACAATGATTATTGCTAGTTACAAAATAACGACAACTGATAATTACAACATTCCCAAATAAATCCAATCATTTTCTTTCACTTCTCCGACAACATGATCAATAACTCCTGAGTGMATGARCTGCYCGTGTATACACAAACRTCTGAAATTGCAGTGATTGTTGAGTTCCTGAGCCGATTGGGAGGACTATGCATGGTCTGAAGTGTCGTTCGGCTGCTGCTACTCAAATGCTTGTTTTTGTAGCACATTTACCAGGTTGTCTGGCCATATGACTCCCAACACCTTGCCCTGTTTTGCCTGTTTAAATCCAAAAAAATAAACTGAGCTTGTAAGATCCGCACTTTCAATCCTTTTCTTTTCCTAAGATGCACACAGAAATGACACCAATGGCCCAACGGCAAGCACAAACCGGCGAGTGCTCCAGCCTCACAACCATAGCGTGGGAGTCACAATTCCTTTTAAGGATTGGGCTCCTTGTGGGCACTCGGCTCTTAGCAGGCGGCTGTGTACCTGATATGCAATGAGGCGCTTGAGATGCCGTTTAAAAACCCTTTTGCACAAGAGAAGTGTCAAAAGACTATAACCCTGCCTAGCCTTAAAACTGAAAGAGGCTACCAGGATACATGAGGCCAACTGTTATACACACAGTTCAACACTGGATGCACATCCATATGTTAAAAACGAAACAAGATAACCTAGACATGGCTTAGCTAAATTTGGTGCAGTTCCAGTGTTCTGGTTGTTGTCTTAAATTATTCTTTCAAGACTTTAAAATCCAAAAAAAGAAAAGGCATCACTTCAAATACTTGGACATTTTATACGTACGGYTATAKAAATTATTACGTGCTWTTTATCCCATCAAGAGTTCAACAAGTATTTTGATGGATTATATTGATACGGGTCTAAATATTTTGATGGTGTTTGATGATTGTTAAGCTATGCCTGTTTTAACTAACACAAATGCATTCATTAGTACAGTATTCCGAAAACGCCAAACCAACACACCCATTCCAACGCATCTTATGTTCCATACAGAACATTTATCAAAAAATAATTTTTCATTCAACATTAATTCTATACAGAACCTCTAAAACAGTTGGAATTCTTAATCATTCATCACATATTCATTCAGTTTTATCAAACACCATCTAAGAGCCTTTTATTGGAACTGCTAAGTTTAATGTTAGTGCAATCTACCCATGATGCCCATGAATACTACAGTGGACAGTTTTACTGCCACATGTAAACAGGAGAGACCTGTCTTACATGGTTTAGACGCTAGAGTAGTAAGCAAAATTTGACAATGCACCATTGGTTTACTACACAATGCTAGATCCCACCCCCACCCCCTAATGTGATAAAATGAGATTGTTTGGTCTGGTTTAGATCTAGGGATACTAAAACCAAAATGAATCAAGGAGWCCCAGGTAAAATACGGTAGATTGTGGTTCAATAGGTATCCACATAATATTCGAATTAAAGGAGCTGTGGATGTACATTGTATTAATGTTATCTTTTTGAAAATTAAGCAAAAACTACATTCGCTGGGCAGTTATGCAATATGTTCTATATTAAATAAATGCATACAACACAAGAACCAGTATCCAGTAGAAACAGATATATCCATATCCGTACCAGATACAAGTTGATGAGTATATGGATATAATCACATCCAATCTGTTTTATTTAGTTTAATAGCGTTTACAATTTCTTAAGGGCACCATTTAGCCCCCAAGAAGTTTTAAAAGAAAAGGCTTCATTGAGGACGTATTTATTCAGAGTGAATAAAATTCAATAGTTATTATAAAAACTATCTTCACATATTTTATTGGTTGCAAATATACTAAGGAACTTCATTAGGACCATTAGTAAATTTCAGAATATACAGTAACCTGTTAATGTGATACTCGTCCATAAGCAGCCCCCTCTACTCTAGATGTTAAGGCATGTTTGGCAACCATAAGCTAGCTTATTTTTTGAGGTTATTGGAAAAACCTCGTTTGGTTAGCCATAAGCTAGCTTTTTTAAAAGCTACTTCTAGTAGCATCTCAATAAGCTCCATTTTCACTTTTTCCAATCACACCTCTTGTATTTTTCCAACTAATTTTTCAATGTCTTTTTAGGTCATCGGCTAGTTTTTACCGAACATGACTAGTTTAAGCTAGCTAGTTTGCCAAACATAGCCTAAGAGGTTTAGGGTTTAGTTTCTGGTTCCCCATGAGAGAGAGAGATGGACTAACCACTACTAGGCAGCGACTGTCGCTTCTTTCCCTGATTACCCAAGATTGAGGATCTCTCTCTTGGATTGCTGTGGGATCTTGACCCCACACCAGGTCTCAATCTCAGCTCACCAACTGAATCAGCAAGAAATGCGTTAGACGTTGGATCAATACACACCGTSGCAGGTGCTTCTTGCATGCTAGTTGACTTGATAGGGTCAGAACCAGAGCCATCAGAATGAGATTGCCCCATTTTCTCATTTGGAAATTCTAATTGAAGGTTTGAAGCAATGGATTTCTTGCCRGCAGATTTTAACTGGTTCCTGATGTTGGGCTCTTGCTCTTGCTCTTGTTTAGCAGAACCATTCTCCTGAATCTTCAGTCCATCTCTCGTATTAATGTCGAGGAAACGATTCTCCCATGGACGAACAGCCATCCATCTCTCCAACCAGTTCCAACCCCAATTAGTTTTATCTGGTCCAAATCCAGATGGAGATGTTTGTTGTCTAGATCCTGCCTGCCACTGCAACAAATAAGCAAATGTTAACATTGTGATTTAATCTTATAGCTACAAAAAATGTAATTCAACATTGATCTTATTGGAGCAAGGGATATTCCATGATTCTTATATCCTGTAGTTCGTAACGTGAATAGGTCTGCTGAATTGTTGTAGGCAAGAGAGATGGAAGATCTCCCTTACTCCTTGAGCAACGTTAGGAGTATGATAATTGTCTTTCATGATGGAATAGTAATTCATGGAAGTTTACAAAATATTGGGCTTGATAGCACTTAACCGACCCATACAAATACCATTATCATTAGCATACTAATCCTCAATTTGTGAATCCTTAGCCAAATGAAGGCTTCTCTTCACACTTGAGGCTGGTTTTAAAAATGAAGACTACACAACCCATTTAAAATCGTTGAGTTTAAGGAACGAATATCCAATTCGCACTTGTGGTCACAACCCCTCGTAGAGTAATGTGAATGAGCATCTCTCCTGCGACACCAGGTTTATGAATACAGCTGGAATGCTACATCTAGCCCTCAGCAAAATGCAATCAGAGAAAGCATAAATGGAGATCTCATAGAGGTTACTCGTACAATGTTGATTCATCAGAATGCACCTCAGCAGTCGTGGAGATATAGTTGTGATTGCAAGGTACTTGATTATTTGCATACCTTCTAATTTTCTATTATTTCAAATGGGCATATATACATAATCCCTCTTATTTTCAGTGGCTCCCAATTTCATGTTGATCCTTTTTTCTGTTCTTSTGCACAAGATTCCTTTCATGTTGTGACCAAAGCAAACCAGTGGCATATTTKTTCGGTATTGTAAGCCTCAAAAGTGTTATTAGTGTTGTAGTTTCAGCATTTGCGAATTGTTTTTGTTGCTCATGGTTTTTCTATCTTATTCAATATAGTAGGGTGGACTTTCCTAGTATTATTTCTTAGCAACCAAATGCTGATCAAGGTTACTCATGTTCCTCCTATAAAGCCTATCATTGTGGAGGTTACTTATTGCTTGCTATCCTCTTACCTAACGGGCGAAGATTTGCCTCCCTGGAAAGGATGATTCATTCGGATCGACATGAGAGTCCCACTACATTGCATTGCCAGAATCCATGTTGTATATTTGAAAGAGGTTGACCTCCTTGCTTCTCTCACGGTACAATCCTCTTCCCGCCAAGCCCCCTTTCTCCTCGGTCCTCAGAGACAAAATGTAGGACTGGCATCAACAGTTCATCACGAAAGAAAGGACTCACTAAGTCGGGATCACTAACTAAGACTAATCTAATATGAATTAAATAGAAAATAATTGTCTTTTCTGTATACTTTCCCCAGTTCCGCTGCTACCGCGGGTTTATGCAATCGATCGGATTATATAGAAATCCCTTCAACAACATAGGTCATCGAAAGGATCTCGGAGACCCACCAAAGCACGAAAGCCAGGATCTTTCAGAARATGGATTCCTATTCGAAGAGTGCATAACCGCATGGATAAGCTCACACTAACCCGTCAATTTAGAATCCAATTCGAGATTTACCTCCGTCTTCATGTATGCTATAGGTGCAAGAGGCACACTATTCAAGCTCCTGACACTACCATTTTTACAAACCTTTTTACTTTCAGTAACATAAGATGCATTCCCATTGCCTAGTACAAAGAAAAACATACTTTCTCTTGTATGCCTAATGAGATACGAACACCCTATTCTGACTTGGCTTCGCCAAAAAGCCTCATCTCTGAAAGTCCATCATGTTTTCAGGCCCTCCTTTGTCACTCCTAACCATTCAATTGTGTTGATTCCTTCCACCTTCAATGTCTAACTACTAACTAGGGATCCTAACAAGATATGGACACCATATTGTGACAATGTCTAAGTACTAACTATGGCTCCAATGAGACACGGTTCCACCTTCAACTATTCCACTCTCACATGCCTCATATTAACCATATTAATTTTGATACTATACCAAAATTACTAGATTGTTCATGCAAACAGCCACTCTAACGTGTTGGGTTAGAGGTCAGGTCCGCATACATCTCACCCCGCCCCTAAAGACCATATTTTCGAGTGGGATTTATTGGGTCTATTGGTTTGGTATACATCTTTACCAATCTTAGCATGATTGAAAGTTGGTATAAGCTTCTCCAATCATCCTAAAGATCAAACTTTATTGAGATGGTTAAGCTTCTACATGAACTAGACAGAAAAATGCTCACACTCATTAAGCCCTAATGTCTTCCCATCATACTAGTCATGGAGAAGCATTGGTACAAACCTTGAGGTGTATTGAAGGTACACCTAGACGAGGTGTATTGAAGGTACACCTAGACGAGGTGTTCCATTTATTGACCACAAGCATACTTCTAGATGTCAATCATGGAAGATGCTAATACATTCCATGGCTTGGAATGAGTTGTTGAGAGTAGTTTCATATAGATTTCAAAGAAAGAAACATGTGTTTATCTTTCCAAGTTCAAGTCCTACTATTACGCTATGGCACAAACTGTAGAAATATTCAGTATCCTTAGAGATACTCGGTATCCTTAAAGATACT